CATAAAAACCAACATGGAATCAGGGTTTTGTAGCTGATTTATAAATAACTGCTGAAGCTCAAGGCTTAAAATTTAATTTGATTTTAACAGGGTTGAATTTTATGTGACATCCAAAGTAACAACTTAGAGAGATACTTAATAAAGATGGCTAATAAACCTACTGAGACACATTTGACCATTATTTAGAGGAGATGAATGTGAATTTACATTTAAAATGGAAAGATGAAAGATTTCAGAAATGGAATGTTTGATTTTGTCTCGCTCTCTATATACGACAGTCTACTTTTTGCACCCCTGCATTAAAATTGCACATCTCTATTTTAATTACTTTACATCTTTATCACCATCTCCTCAGTGGTCTCGTGTCATTATCAAGTTGATCTGGTCATACTGTGCATCATTGTTCCCATCTGTTCCTGTTAATACTTCCTCATTTACTTTTTTATTACATGGGATTGAAATGATATAAAGGAAAAAAAAAACCTTCCTCTTTTTATCTTTTCAACTCTATTGTCCTGGTTTCTTTCCTTTCTCTCTTTTCCTTTACTCAGCCAAAAGAGTGATTCACAGGAGTCACGAAATAAATCAGTTTTCATTGAGCAATCATTATTTTTCCATCACAGCACTGGGCATCAGTGGCTAACGAGAAGGAATCAGAAAAGAAGGGACATGTGAGTGTATAGTTATGGTCTTTGCTGCATGGTCCCTTCATGAGTGTACCATGCTCATTTTCAGGGTAAATTGGCTCTAGAAATTTCATTTTTACCTTTCAGAATGTTTCTCTGAGCCAGACTCCTTGTTTCCTCTCTTTTCTTTCTACAAACATGGTCTCTTTAAGATAACTCATTCACTTTATTCTGTAGTCTGTCAAATTTCAGTTTTAGATGGCTGCACTATAGACAGCTGCACATAAAATAGGTAATGATTCAAATATATTTTTTTATTCTGTGGTCTATGGACTTAAGGAGTTAATTTGAAACAGCAGTTCTGTTTGAAAGAGGATTTCTAAAAGAGATGGTATATCACAAATAAAAGTTTTATTTCACTAATCTGTTTTTAAAGAAGTAATTGTTCTATGGTTGAATTTCCTTCCTTTCATCTTTGGCCAGATATAACAAGCAACTTTTATGTTATTTCCTACTTTGTCTTTAGTGTACTATATATTTCAATTAAAAAAAAAAAAACCCTGACTATTGTTAGATCTGCCGCTCTTTAATGAATCATTGGATTGAAAAATAACTCATTATACCATCAGGCAGAGATAGGTTCCTTTATTTGAATGTAGATAGTGAAGATGAATAATTTATCAAATGTTATTAGGGCAGCCTGCATATTACTGAAGTCACAGCAGGATATAATGAAATTTGTGTCATGCTAGTATGAAAATAGCATGCCTTTGCATAGTCATTATTGAACTTTTGGCATCTCTCAGAGAACTATTATGTTATCATGCCAATCTTGCTCACCTCTTCATTAACTGGACTTTTGATTGAAGAGTTTAACTTATCTTAAAAATCTGTGGAATCTGTTCTGCCAAATGCTTGCTTGACTCAAGCATGTTTCTGTGTCAGTACAAAAATTTTCAGAATGAACGAAGTACTTAATGTTTCTTACTAAAGTGATTAGTGCAAAAAGGCTATGACTGATGGTTTTATCACTTCTAGTCATGAAAAGCTGTCTGTACAGGAGATGCTTAAGCAATATAACTTTCTGAAATTAGGGGTGATAAAACATGCATATAATTACTTTGTATCTTCACATCTATACTAATTATGTACTTGGAATTATCTTAATTGGTTTAACAAAGTTGCATTTCATTTGCCTCTGGCATGATTGCATGACGAGGTCAACAAATCTCCCCAAAGTATGACAAAACTGGACAAATGGGCAAAACCAAATCTTGTCAGTACTCTTGAAATCTACCAACCACATTCAGTGAAGTGAGATGTGTGTTATTCACCAGAACAACTGAATTTTGGGTAAGAAGAGTGTGAATCTGTGATGTTGGTGCTGAGACTGCTACTGATTTTTATCCTCAACTCTATAGGCAAGGTTGTTCAACTAGGCTGTGCAAACCAGCAGCTCTGTTGCTATTCCCAAGGCAGCTCAGTTGATTGGAGAACTGTCAGGTACAGTGGCGATTTTGATGACAAGTGACAGGGAAGGTCTGCAGCTCTGCTGATCTGTTTAGTGGAAGCAGTGGATAGGTGGACTAGCCAGAGATTTAACAGGGGATTCTGGAGATGAGGCAGGGACAGGAGGCCTGAGCAGCTCTCCATTTACCTAGAGTTGACTGAGGGTTGTGCACATGTATGGCAGCAACTGGAGCAGGCTTTATGAGAAATACTAAAGTTCTTCAGGTAGAAAAGAAGAAGGACTAAAGGATAACTCGAATTGCAAGGAACAATGGAAAGTACTAGAAATGGTACTTATATGGATGGGTAAATATAAAGCATAAATATATGTTTTTACATTTTTTCCTTATTTAAAAAAGCATGCAGTTATATCTAAAATAATAATTATAGCACTATATTTTTGTCTTTATATTAGTCCCCCTTTAACTATTAGGGATACATTCAGAGGCTACCTGAAATCACAGCTAGGTGGTTTTTACTGTGTTTTATCCTGTATGTAAATATGTATGATAAAGTTACATTTATAAACTAGGCACAATACGAGATTAACAATAGCAGTAATAGAACAGTTATAACCATATACTATAATAAAAGTGATGTGAACATGGTCTGTCCCTTTTTTCTTCAGAATATCTTATTGTACCATGGGTGACCAAAACTGTAGAAAGTAAAACCACAGATAAGTGGGGGACTACCACATACAACTAAAGATGTTAATACGTGTGAAAACAGCAGCATAAAAGAGGGAAAAGGGAACGAGGCAGCGCTGGGATGTTGAATATTCATATAAAAATGAACTTAGGCCCTACTATATGCAGAAAGTTACAAAGTAGATCTTAGACTTAAATATACGAGCTAAAACAACAAAACGTAGAAAAAGACACAGGAGAAATCTTTGTGACATCATGATAGGCAGAGTTCTTAGATGTGTCACCAAAAACATGAGCCATAAAAGAATAAAATTGATAAATTAAACTTCATTAAATTAAAAGACATTTACTTTTGGAGAGACACCATTATGAAAGTACAAATATAAGCCACAGACTGAGAGAAAATATTTGTGAATCATATCTGATGAAGGTCCTGTACCCATAATATATAAAGAATTCTCACAACCTAGTAAGATATACCATAATTTAAATATTTGACAAACTACTGACATGAACATTTGTGTTAGTCAGGACCAATGTGATGTGTATCCAGAAAGAGGTGCATTTTAAGGAATTAGCACACAGAGTTATGAGACTGAGAAGTCTCAAGATCTGCAGGGGACAAGCTAGAGACCCGAGAGAGCCAATATGTAAGTCCAGTCTCAGTCCACGGCCTGGGAACCAGGAGAGCCAGTGTGTGAGTGCTCATCCATACACTGGTGGGCTTGAGACCCCCAAAGAGCCAATATCTTAGTAGGGGTCTGAAGGTCTGAATCCCTGGTTTTCTGGTTCATATGGTCAGTTCATATGGTCAGTCATGCTCGCTCACCTTTTTGTTCTATTTGGCCTTCCTTTATTTGTTTGGATGAGGCCCATCCACATTGGGAGGGCAGTCTGCATTACCCATTCTGGCACTTCAGATGTTAATCTGGTCTGGAAACACTCGCACAGATGTTCCCAGAGCAGCGTTTGGTCAAAATGTCTGGACATCCAATGGCACAGTTAAGTTCAAACATAAAATTAACCTTTACCACATTTTATTGAATAAGAAATACATTTGGTTAATAATCACGTGAGAAGATGGTCAAATTTATTAGTTATTAGGTAAATGCATATTCAAACCAAAATAATATACCAATATACACTCATTAGAATAACTTATCAAAAAAAGTCATGGCACGTTGGCAAGGATATGAAGAAATTAAAAATCTTATACTTTGCTGGTGGTAATATAAAGTGGTACCACCACTTTTTACTATTTTATGTTATTTGAAAAAAGTTAAATATAAATTCACTATATGACCTGGCAGTTCCATTCCTAGGAATTAATCCAAGAGAAATGAGAATAGATGTGCATACAAAGACTTTTACACAAATATTGATAAAAATATTACTTTAAGAACTATTAATTGGAAGAAAATCCAACTTTCTGTTAACTGGTCAATGGAGTAACAAAGTGCAGTATTTGGCATGAAAATAGAAAGGAACTGTAATAAGCTTGAAGGAATTTCTTGTGGTGATAGAAATGTTCAAAAACTGGATAATGGGTTTGCAAAACTGTATAAATTTATTTAGAAGCATTGATTTGTACTCTGACAATGGGTAAATTTGATAGACTATGCCTCAATAAAGGTATAAAAATAATATCTCTCTATAAAGAGAAAATAACAAGTAAATATGGTAGAATAATAATTAGGGAATCTGAAGGGTTATGGGAATTCTTTGTACAATCTGAAATCATTTCAGAGCTTCAAAATTTCAAAAATTCTATTGCTCTTAGGAGTGGTCTGATTTCTTCATGTAACATTTTGTAAAAATAAGTTTAAAAGTTTTGTTTGTTTTAAAAATATCCAGCCTCAAAGTGCCATTTTATTGTAGCTTTTTTGATTCTTTACGACTTTGATTTGTTTGCTTTGAACAGATACTCCCCTCCTGCTGCACATGCACGTCCGGTCTATGGTCCCTGTTTCTCTGTCTCATCTGTTCAATATAAAAGTGCAAATAATATAAGCAAAGCAGTTTTGCTCGTAGGCCTCAAATATGGCTGTTTTTTCGTTTGACAGTATTTTTTAGGTTTATATAATCACATGTTGTCTAAATTGGATTTTTTAATGTATAAAAGAAAAAAGTTAAATGCAAACATTAACACATATTTTGAAAGCATTAAATTAAAGGGAAGTGTGTGACTCATGCTGTTTATGTGCTTGATTTGAAGGTCACTCTGTGAGACTGCTGGGTCAGAAGAAGGATAATGGAAAGCGGTTGGGGGGAGCACGACTGGATTTGCCCAAGATTAGGAAGAATCCACTGATAGAAATCATTTCCATCAATACTGGGTAAGTGTTTCTCAAACTTGCTCATAAAACATTCAGTGTACTCTATGAATTCAATTTTTTTCCTGAACAGGTGACATAGAAGAGTATTTGAATATTTTCTTGGGAAAGAAAAATCACAAAAAGCTCCAAAGAACTGAATATTGTTTCTTCTGGGATGTTCCTTATATGCAAATTACACTTGTATTTGTTGCAGGGTTTTATGCTTTGACTAACATTACTCTTATTTTAGTAATAAACATGGATTTCATTTTTCAGCTGTGCCCTTGGTTAAAATCTTTGGATAAAGAGCATTTTATTCTGTGAAATAGTCAGCGGACTGATCATCTTTGAGTGCTTTGAACAGGGTTATAGTAAATGTTGCCCAAGATGCTAACCATGCTTTGATTACTAACTATATAAAATGTGTATTTTAAAAAGTTATTCTTATGAGTGTTGAACTGAAAAAAACACTATGACTGAATGTTCAGTACTCTTTGAATTTCCACACCTTGGGCTGAAGTGTTTTGTATTTATTAATATTATACATATTCATACTTTGATTTTCATTGAATTTGAGTTCTTTAAATTATAACTCCATCTGAAAAAGTCACTTTTTCTTGAGAAATTGACTGGCTTAAGGGCTTCCGTTCCTTAAATCACTAGGAGTACCTACTTAGCCCGTACCTTTCATGAAATTCAAGCTGTTCTGCTTTTTTTTGACTTGAGCTTCCCTCTTATTTCTCTTTCTGTCCTTCTCTTTCTTCGTGCTCCTTCCCATTGAGTGCTGGTAAACTTAGCTTCCTTGTCCAGTATCAGCCCGCCTCTCTCCAACTCAGTGCCTTCTTTTCCTCTGTAGTGATGACAGCTGTGTTTCAGCCATGGTCTTTTTTCTAGTCTCACCACCTTCTGGTTCATTTTCTCATACTGCTGCAAATGACTAGAGGAAGGTTTAAGAAGTCATTGGTTTTCTCAAAAAGCCCCATGGGATGGCGTTCAATTGCTCGATGGGTTTGTTGTGCACTAGTGTCTGGCCTTCAATATTGAAGATTCAGAAACTTGGCCTCATTAAGCACAGAGACTAGTGATTAACCAGAAGTTAGCAGTAAGAAGTGTAGTTGTCACTTGATTGGAATACCTAACATATTCTTTCTATCCTGAGCCAGATTATAAACACAAGGCCATGGGGCCATTTGCTTTCTCCTCTGTCTCAGTTACTCTGTCCCCTTTCTGCAGGCATTGTATACTTCCCCTCCAATTTCTGATGATCCTATTTAAAATTGCAGCACTCCCACATTTCCTCTCTTTCATATATGCCTTATTTTCCCATGTAACTTTCATGACCATTAAAAAATATGTATTTATGGTCATGTATATTTTAATTGTCTCTCCTCACTTGCTTGCACACTCCATGAAGACAAGGACTTTTGATTATTTCGCTTACCAGTATATCCTCAGTATACACCCAGAATTTATTCACAGTAGGATTTAATAATATTTACTTAATTAAATGAATGATTGAATTACAGATTTGAAAGTTTAATGAGACTATGCTAAATTCTTTTTACCGGACAGATTGCCTTGCCACGGGCAATAATACTTAGAGTTTGCTGGCTAAGCATAATTTTCTCTTGAACAATGCCTTTTTTTGTTGTTTTGTTTTTTGTATGTGCAAGACCGATCAACCCTCTTCTGGCTACATACATTGGTTTAAAATGTTAATATTTCAGGATTTGTTGAACCCTATTACATTAGGATGCATTTGGTTTCTTCAAGGTGACTTTCCAGGTATTTTTGACCCAGTAAGCATTTGTTGTAACTGTTTTCTTTTCCAGTCCCTATGTGCTTCTCCATTTTGCTGTTCTCCACCTCACGCTCCAGTCACCTCATCTTGAGTTACTTGGAATCTCAGACTCCAGGGTCTTCTGTATCTTGATTCAAGGCCCTCCTGTGTGCTGAAGGGGTTCCCTGAGTGTCAGTCCTTTCCTCCTGGGCCTTATCAGCCATCCTGTACTCAGCTGCATGCGCCTGTCTTTGGTTGGCTGTTTGTTTCTGCCTCCACAGCTTGGCTAAATCCATCTCTCTCTCCAGTGTGCATCTATAGCATTCCTTGGTTATGGTACTTCTCAGACTGTATCATTTATATTTCCCACTAAATTGTGAAGTCCTGGGTACTGAACACTTTTCAGTTATCATTACATTATTCTTCGAGTTCAGTGCTCAGTACAGAATATAGTTATGCCCCCATCTGCATAAGGGATTGCTGCCATGACCTCTGTGGATGCAGAATCTGTGCATGCCAACCCCCTTATATGAAGTGGGGTGATATTTGCATCTAAGGTACTCATATTCTCCTGCATACAGAGACCTTTTTTTTTTTTTTACTGTCATCCTGGGGCACCGGGGAGTCCTCACGGCACCTTCCCAGGGTGAGAAGCAGGAAGGCCCTGCTTGCCCTTCATCCTGCATTCATATCTGCCCCCCTGTGGGGGTAGGGGAGTTCCGAATGACCCGTGGGGTAGTAGGGTACATCTATATAGCTCAGGCAAATTACAGTGCTTCACTTCTGGAACTCCCTCCACCAGTGTTTTTTTAAATTTTTTATTAGATTATAATTGTGTACATTAATTCTATCATAGGATACAGTGTGTTGCTTCCATATACAGTTTGAAAAACTCTCATCCAACTGGCTAACATAGCCATCATGTCTTTCTCATAATTGTTGTGTTAAAACATTTATATTCGACCTTTAGACAAATTCACATGTACCCTAATAGGATAAATCATAGGCGTGATCCCCACATTATCATTCTCTTTACGTATCCTCCTCCCTCCCCTCCCCTTCCTCCTCTTTCCCCGTAGTCTTGGACTATATATTTGGATTATAGCTTTCCTAAGATAGCTAACAATTAGTTTCATAATAGTGTTGAGTACATTGGATACTTTTTCTTCCATTCTTGAGCTACTTTGCTAAGGAGGACATTTTCCAGCTCCATCCATGTAAACATGAAGGAGGCAAAGTCTCCATCTTTCTTTGTGGCTGTATAGTATTCTATGGTGTACATATACCACAATTTATTGATCCATTCATGGGTTGATGGGCACTTGGGCTTCTTCCATGACCTAGCGATTGTGAATTGGGCTGCAGTGAACATGCTGGTACAGATATCTGTATTATAGCGTGATTTATGGTCTTCTCGGTATATACCTAACAGAAGAATTACAGGATCAAATGGTAGATCTCTATTTAGATCTCTGAGTGTTTTCCATATGGTTTTCCAAAAGGGACGTATTAGTTTGCATTCCCACCAGCAGTGTAGTAGTGTTCCCTTTTCTCCACA